ATGTACCAATATAAACTATTCTGGAAAAAAAAATCAAAACATGTACCAATATAAACTATTCTGGAAAAAAAAATCAAAACATGTAAAACATACGCCCCCTCCCCCAATCCTCTTTTAGGTGGATGGATTGGTACTCTACTGTATGAGCCAGGTATCATGTCTGTAAGCCACCCAGAGTCACTTTATAGGGGAGATGGGCAGCATCAGAATTAAACAAACAAACAAACAAACAAACAAGTAACATGGCTTATGAGGAGAAAACATTCATCTAGATTTCCCCATCTCTGGCCCTGCACAGCTCAATGGATCCACTTTCATAGATACAGCACATCCATGCTAAATTGAACTTGATATCCAAAAATATGTTTCTTATCCATATTTGCTTTCCCAACTATGTAGTTCAGTTAATCTTACCCATTTAAGATAAATATACATGCTGGAAGACAATGTCAGTAATTCGGAGAAGTTGACCTCTAGACATCCTTTTGCTACAATATTAAATTACAAATAAAAGCTAGGTTCCCTATGACTCCGATTTACAGTTTAGAATATTTTCCAGCATGAACCCAAGGGCTCCTTACAAGATAAATAAATTCATGATGTTTCCCTTTGAATTTCTTCTTGTAAAAATATTACTTGCGAAAAGTGTGGCTTAGCTTGTAATATGTTTCAATGGCTTTTTTCAGGCAACCGGAGGAGCATATACAAATTGGAAAAGGAAGAATCCATTCCTGATGGGATGTGTATTGATACAGAGGGGAAGCTTTGGGTGGCCTGTTATGGTGGAGGACGGGTACTCCGTATAGATCCTGAAACAGGTTAGCAATTGTGAGGAGTAGGCTGGGGAATCCACTTATAGTCCACATTTCTTTCCTGAGATCAAGCTGTTTGGTGTAAGGGATCTGGAGCAAACACAATATGTGTGTTTTATTAGTTCCAGAATTCCTTTGCTCGTGTAGAGATGCTTATACACAGGGGTGGGCTTCAAAAATCTCAGCAACAGGTTCTCTGCCCAGTTGCTGGGTGGGCGTGGCCATGGTGGGCGTGGCCGTTGGTCTCCTGCACCATGCCTGGGGGGGGGCATATTTGCCTTTTCCAGCTCCAGAGGCTTTCATCGAGCCTCTGGGAGGGTGGAAACTGCTTCCCCCATGCAACGGAGGCCCTCCGGAACTTCCGGGAGGTTCATTTTTCCCTGTCCTCGAGTCCCCACGTGGGCCTGCACTTACCTCGCATCCAAAATGGGCCGTGTGGAGACTCCTGGGAGGGGGTGGGTGGGATTTGGAGGTTCTCTGAACCAGCCATAACATTAACTCCAGGTTCTCCCAAACCCGAGTGAATCCATAGTAGCCCAACCCTGCTTATACATTATAATGTATAATGTATAATAATAAGGCCTTATCTCATCTGCATAGCAGCCCATGCTTTAGTTCACTTGTTAATGTAAATGGAAAACCTTCTGTGATTGGTGAAACCTCTGTGATAATGTCATCCCACAAATGCCAGGGCTTCCTGCGTGTGATCCAGAAGCTAGATTTAGGTGCAAAAAGCCCTGGGTTCAATCCCCGACATCGCCAGGTAAAAGGATCAAAGAATTTGAAAGTCATCTCTGTGCCCAATGAAATTCTGTAGACTTTGCCAGATAGGTAAAATACTTTGTCTGTAGGTCTGTGACAATTCCTTGTGGCTAATTCACCATGGCCAACTCACTGCAGACAACTAGCCCCCGCCAACACACTGTGAAACAACTCACTGTGGGACAAGAGTTACACTAATATCAAATAAATGGTGGAGTGGAATCATTAAAGGAAGGATGCAAAAGGAAGGACAGAATAAAATGTTAATGGCAAAAATTAGAATATTTTTTTATTTATTTTAAATAATTAAATCAAATTGTTACATTGTCCTGTGGCAAGTTGTCCATGATGAATTGTCCCATGATGAGTTGGTCACAACGAGTTGGCTGTGGCGAGTTATTCCATTCTGTCATCTGACATACAGCATACAATATTCCTAGCTTCCATAGTGAAAGAATAATCAGACAACTGGTTCAAAGGTCCTGTTTCTTACAAATGGATCACGTTCATGCACAATGCATCCAATCAGTATTTTGCCTTTGAAAAATTGCATCTAAGACTATGAAGCTCTTTTTTCCAACATTAGGTCCTACCTTTTGTTTCTTTAGGGTGGAGTGTGTAACCTGCAGATTTGCATGCAGACTCCAGCCCGTTATTTGCAGCCCTCACACTCTCATTTTTGGACGATGTGTGTTTACTTTTTTCCAAATTTAAGGAGGGAAATGTACTGGTTCCACTCTGCAGGTCTGTTGCCCTTTGTTAAGGAAACAACCTGATTTATTTTAACAGGAAAAAGAATTCAGACAGTGAAGCTGCCTGTAGACAATACAACTTCTTGTTCTTTTGGTGGATATGATTATTCAGAACTGTATGTCACTTCTGCTGGACTGGATGAGTCGTCTCTCATACGACAACCCCAAGCTGGTGGCGTTTTCAAGGTAATCAGAGAACTGCAGTGCATTTGAATCATGATATGAATGATACAGTGGTTGGGGGCAGCATTTGATTAATTTAACCTAGGGGATCTGGGGGTCAATAAAGTCAAGATGGCATCTATTCTAATAATTCCCCCTCCCCCAGCATTTTTGATTTAATATGAGGTCCTTGGTGCTCTGAGTTTGGTTGTTTTGTTGCAGACATTTCATTATGCAATGAGGTGTCATCAGTACATCAATGCAGAGGGCAGAAGGGAGAGCACTAATCATGTTACTAGTTGGGTACTGAAATGTTTGCAAGAAAACAACCAAGATCAGAGTTCCAAGGACCTCACAGTTCAACCCTGACTTCTAAATATTTTCTTCTATTGATCTCTGTTTTAACTGTCCGATTTAAGAGCTAAATTTTCACTAACATCTTTTAAAAAAAATCAGCATTCATTTTTAAAAAAACATACTTTAACAAAAGTAAGGTTCCGATATGATTTTTTAAAAAAATGCATGTAAAATAGAAACAGATAGCAGATTCAATGCTATGTCTTTAAATACCTAACTTGGCTTTCGGGGTTAGGATTAGAATGGCTGGTGGTTACTTTGTTGGAGTTTTAGGGTGTTTTGTGTGGTTCTTTTTTCTTTTCTTTTCTTTTTACTATTTTATTATATGGTGTTAAGCCATATAATGTCATCTGGGAGTCAGAAACTCCAAATCTAATTAAACGAATGAACATATGCAGGCAAATGTTTATTTTTCAAATAAATGCTTATTATTAGGAAAGATGAGACAATTTTGGAAGTATCATGTTCATATCCTCATTTTTTAAAAACAGATTACTGGCCTTGGGGTGAAAGGAATCCCACCATATTCATATGCAGGTTAATACATACTCTTGAAGACACAAATATCAAAACAAGGACGGAAGGAAGACAGCATTGCATCACTGCAGAGTTTATCTATCTTGTTTTTTAGAAGCTATAAAAGGATGGTAGACCAACAAGTACAGGAAGAATTTCCCAAGCCTTGAATTCAGATTTGAATTGTGTCCAATTTGCTTTTTTATTATAGCTGACTGAAAAAATGTTTTTACTTTCTCTTAAATCAATATTTTAAATAAAGTTTCAAATATATAAATATTGTTTATGTGTGAATTTATCAATCTGCTGATTGAAAATCAAATGAATATTTAGCTATAACATGAGACACATGCTGCCTGTTTTCCCAACTCTGCTCCGTTCTTTTCTATTTCAACCACAAGTCTTTCTCTGCACACTTACAAACTTTTATCTTTCCATCTTATCATCTGCCCCTTTCACTCTGGCACTCAAAAGTGTTTATGTGCAGAGAATGTGTGACCCCAAATAGGTCTCCTGCTGACCATTTACAGAAGAGAGGTAAGAACATGCTGGCGGTAGGGATTCCACAATTCACAAGTCTTCCCCTACATCGTTTTTTGCTTATGTTCTAGCACAGCGATGGCGAACCTTTTTTGGCTCACGTGCCATAAGTGGGGGGAGCACAGGGGGTTGTGTGCAGGCATGCCGCACCCATAATGCAATGTGCGACTCCCTCATGCGCACACTAAAAGCGCTCCCCTCATTTTCTGCATGCTTTTTTCACCCTCCCCAGGCTCCAGAGGCTTTATAGGAGCCTGGGGAGGGCGAAAACAGCCTCCCCCCCAGGAAGCCCTCCAGAGGCTTCAGGGACCTTCAGGAGGCTTCCTGAAGCCTCCGGAGCAGTCAAAACAACCCTCTGAGCAAACCGCAAGTCTGTTCCCAAACTTCCAGTTTGCCTGTGGGGCGGTTTTTTGCGCTCTGGAGGCTTCAAGGAAGCTTATGAAACCTTTGGAGGGCAGGCAGGGGGCTCTTTTCACCCTCACTAGGTTCCTATAAAGCCTTGAGCCTGGGGAGGGCGAAAAATGGCTTTAAAAAAGGATGAACTCAGCTGGCGAGCACGCGCATGTGCACTGGCCAGCTGACAGTGCAGCGCCTCACGTGCCCTGACAAATGCCATAGGTTCGCCATCCCGGTTCTAGCAGCTACTATCTATGGTTAGACAGCATCTCCTACGCTGGGGAACCACAGGAATAAAAATTTGAGCTTTCCTGGCTCATTTCTAAAAGGGATGATTATTCACTGGGGACTCAGTGGGGGAGTTCCATGGTGGTGGTGGCTGTTAGATTGATGTCAGAGTCCACCTCTCCCCTTGTTCTCTGCTCTTCAACCATCCTTTTTGATTATCATATTTATATATTCTCATTTTCATTTTCATTGTTTATTTTATTGTTTATTATTTTACTTCTGCTTTATTTGCACTCTTTTCATTTCTTCCTTTTTATGGTTGTAAACTGCCTAAAGCAGCCCCATACATAGTGAGAAAGGGGGCAAATAAATTTAACAATACATAAATACATACCTATACATAAAGCATACGTACATAGTGTGTCCCACTTATTCTTAATTTACTTATCATTTTATTTTATATATAACAATCTTGATGCTATGTTTATCACATTTATATTTCTTACACAAAAAATACAGGAGTATTTTTTATCCATCTCTTGATATTCCCACTCATCTAGATCAGGGGTATCCAACCTTGGCAACTTTAAGATTTGTGGACTTTGACCCCAAGAATTCCCCTCATGTTGGCTGGGGAATTCTGGGAACTGAAGTCCACAGTCTTAAAATTGCCAAGGTTGGACACCTCTGAACTAGATAATAGAATTGAAATATTCCTATTCATAGTTGATAAGGACAGCAGCATTGAAGTGCAGAGGGCAAGGTGGGAGAAGGAAAGCAAAAGAGATGGTGTTTGTGGCAGCACAATCAAGTTCCATCCTTTATACATACATTGATGTTGCATGCACATAAAAACCTTATTTTATTACCACTCCTAGAAATGCCAAATTACCAGCTTAGATATTCTACATTAGATACTCCCATTTGCCTATGTCTGAATAAAAACACTTCCCCTATCCTATTATAAGTAAGTATAAATACAGATCACTTAACGGAGATATTATTTTAAGTTCTAACAATTATTAACCAATAATTTAAGGAGATTATTAATGTTGAAAAAATCAGTATATCTTATTTTCTTTCAGATTTATAATACCACTGCAGTAAACTTACGTTGAAAAGAGTCTGACCAAGAATTATAGTACAGGGCGGGGCATAACCTTTTCCTAGGGGGTCACAGCAACACTTGTAATAACAACACAAATAATTCATACACCATTCGAAAGCCCAT